TCTCGATGTCCACAAAGATTCTCATCAGCTCGGGGATGGCCATGGCTGGGTGAGTGTCATTCAGCTGGATGGCGACCTGGAAAAAAAAAAAAAAAAAAAGCACTTATACTGTGATAAAGAATATAAAACATCATTAAGATTGTGATGATTCTTCTATGATGACCACAGTTATTATTAGTATTATTAAAGATCCAGCAGTGAAACACCGACATGATAATGAGGCACGGTGCAAATGTTTAATATAAATCACTGTATTACATCCTCAGAGCTTCTCTCCTAACTGTCTAATAACCCATTGTACAAAGCAGCGCAAACATTGCAGCATTTTTCATGGTGATTATCTCTTCAGCTGATGTTTCTCTCAGATCTCGGCTCTGCTTTGCTAATTTCTCGTCTGCAAACATTACAAGTTTGACTCTGGAAGAAAATAAAACTGCTCACATAGAAATTCACATCTTGCTACTGACCAGTGATCCGAGTTAGGAAATGAAATGAAGTAATATGACCACCGCAGCAGACCCCTCTTAAAGAGAAGCTTACTTTGTCTGGGAAGCTCCTGAAGGACGTGCGGGCAGGTGTTCCTTTCTTCGTGGTCTTGAAGCGGCGGATGATGTCTTGTAACGTGGCGGCCACGACAAAATATTCCTGCTTCAGACGAAGTTCTTTCCCTTCAAAGAACTGAAACAAACAGACGAGACCCCAGAGACGGTAAAGACCTCGATCTTAGAATAACAGAAGTTTGGCGTCGTGACAAAACCACAGGGAAACATGAATTTCCTGTTGAACTTACATTGTCGTTGGGGTAAAGCACACGGGAGATGTTCTCTGCCAAATTTCTGTCCAGCACGGCCTCGATGTAATCTCCAACATTGACTGCAGACAATTCAATGCATTTTAGTTACACTGATAACACAGTACATATTATACATGACAGTACTCGTGATTTAAAGTAAAATCTACACTCTGCAGGAGAAATTACTGCATTCGAGCAACTTGGCAACAGGTAACTTGCATCTTGTTGCGTGTTACGATGGTTGTTGCAGAAGTTTCCGTCTTTCTTGCAAAGTTTCTGTTGAAAGCTAAAGCTGCTCTGCAATAGCAGTTTAAAAAAAAAAAGAAGAAAATCATGAAATTGCCCTCAGGACTCACAGTCTCTCAGGTTAAAGTCATTGGGGGCACGAGCGGACCAAAGCCTCATGGTGTTCACGGTGTTGTTCATGTAGCCAGGAATGGGCGTGTCGTACGGCATCGCCAAGACCACCTGCACGGACAGAAGTGAACGTCAGCTGCACAGTGAAGGTGGATTTTGCAGAAAGACTGAGATTAGAAATGTTTATACCTCCACCGATGAGGTTATATTTTCACCTCTGACCTTTTGTTTGTTGGATAGTTTAAACTCGGTGGAAGGTGGAATTTAATTTTCACAGATTTCCAAATAATCCAAAAACCTTGATGAATAAAATCAGACAGATGCAGTATGGTGCAGCTTGATTGAATTTAAGGAGATGGTCAGTTTGTACTGTACTGAGTGCCATTCAAGCTTAAAATGAAAGTCACGTGGTCATAGATCACAAAATAAAGGTTTTTCTAGCCTCAGTTTTACCTGATTAACAATGCAGCATCATTACCTGAGTGTCGATCCATTTGGAGCCATCTTTCGTCTCCTCCACTCGTCCATAGAAGTGAACCGGCAACATGTACTCAGGACGTGCCTTCTCCCAGGGGTTTCCATGTCTCAGCCAATCATCTGCCTCCTCCACCTGCGTCAAAATCAGCCTGAAAGCTTTAATGTGACACTGATGATGATGTTGATGCAGCAGAGGTTGAGCAACACTCGCGTCAGGGATCAGACGCAGAGGTTCATCCACCTCTGTGATAAAACACTGATCCTGGTCAGAGGTGCATGTTTACACTGAAGGATCAGAAATCAAAAGGGCAAAAGGCTTAAGTTTTGGAATCGCTTATCACAGGACTGTTTGTTTTGTTTTTCTTTTAAAAAACAGACCTCCATTGAATTCTAGCAGGAGCTCGCACCACTGGAATAGACCACAAGTTAGGTCACAGTTAATGATTAGCCTGTGATGTAGTCTGACCCAATTCATGTCCACACTTTACTCTGACTCCCAACAGCAAGATCAGAGGTCGAGAGGAGAATCCTGGATTTCAAACTAAAACATAAGAACAGATTTATGAACTCTTTGAATTGAAATATACATAGAGTCTGAACCCCTTAATCTTTATCTGGTCATTTCAGTGAAAAGAAAGTTATAAGTTTGTATTTTGGAAAGTTAAGGACAGCTGATAGAGTTTTGTAGAAACGGAACCGTGTAGAAAACAAGCGTACCTGCCAGCCATCTCTTATCTTCTGGTTAAAGATCCCGTATTCATATCGAATGCCATAACCGTACGCAGCAAGACCCAAGGTGGCCATGGAATCCAAGAAACACGCTATAGTGCAGGACAGATATTCACAATCAGACATAAAATCTAAAATGTTAACTTCTTGGTGTTGAATTGAAAAATCAAACGTCAGTTAGTGGAGATGGAAGTTCAGTGTTCATTTGCTCATTTAAAGAGTCTGTTGCAACATTTCTGTGGCGGCAAGTTGCTTCACATGCTCAGTGAGCACACACCAGTATATTTAATGTAACTGCTTAAACAATAATGGAGTATGGTTGTAATGGACCTAGAAATGTTTTCAGTCTAAATCAGACTTTTAAGGAATGTTTCTGGATTTACAGGTGAACGGTTTGTATTTTAATTTTAAAAGCAGAATCTTCTCTTTTTTTTAATTCTTATCTTGCAACTTCCCCTTCCTCTTTCTGTCCATTTCTGCAGCCTCTTACCTGCCAGTCTGCCCAGACCTCCATTCCCGAGACCTGCGTCCTCCTCCATCTCCTCCAGCTCCTCCATGTCCAGGCCGAGCTGCAGCAGAGATGGCAACATAGAATTCCCATCTCAATGATCATTGCATTTGAGGTTATTGAAGCCTCTGTTTCGTATATAAGTTTCAGTCTGACCTGGTAGATTGCTTCATCGCAGGCGTTCTGCAGCCCCAGGTTGATCATGGTGTTTTGCAGCGTCCTGCCCATGTAGAACTCCAGAGACAGATAATACACCCTCTGCACGAAAAGAAAAAAAGAAAGGACTAATTGTTTGTCTTTGCACAGACTGAAGAAAACAAATATTAATATAGTTCATTCATCTAAAATATATTTGATGTGTCATAAGGGTGCAGAGATGTGCAGCGAACACACAAAACTGGAGCACCAAACCTTTTCCTGTACAACATAGCTGCGTACACATGATGCAATGACCCACAAATACTGTCTGCTTGGAAAGTCTTATGCAACAGGAAAAAAACTTTGCACACATCTTACTTCCCATTAAAAGGTAAATGTAAGAAAACTGACACACCTTGCAAAGTGTTTTCTGCTCAGAAAGAGGAATTCAAAGCCACAAACTTCACTAAGTCTTCATAAAATGAGTCTTTAAACCTAAAAATAAATAATAATGTGACATTCATCGTGATAACTATCGATATCTGCTTTATATGTCTGTCCAGCTTCTCCCTTACATGAGGAAATAAATGCAACATCTTGAAGTTTTACAATGAAGGAACTGTGGGACTTGTTTTTCCAGTTCACCAGTTTTTTTCAATTTAAATCACTGGAGTTGTTATTTTACCTTTGGGTCAGCCTCATAATAAAACTGCTGGGTCCTGATCCATCTCCCCACCAGGTGGTCTCTCACAGTGTGGGCCAGGGCAAAGTAGTAGTCCCTGGGGTTGGCTATGTTTCTGTCTTTGACCAGGGTGAAGTGCAGGTGTCGGTTGAAGCCCTTCTTCAGCTCGGCCACGTTCTCCACCCCCACGATGCCCCTGATGCTGATCTGCTTGCGCTTCTCCTGGTCGGTGAGAGGGGTCGCCATGCTGGGGAGGCAGGTTGGGTCGCTCCCTGGTCGAGGTTGCTTGAGACTGCTCTGCGAGGAGGTGAAGTTCAGTGGGAACATGGAGGTGGTTGTCCTGCAGCAGTCTCCGCCCTGTGCTGCCTGTCATTGGCGAGGACAGGGGGGAGGGTGTTTTCCCTGCTGGGCTGCAGGAAGTCAATACAGACACCAGTGTATGAAAACTTGTGCGTTTGTGTGAAGCTCATATGCAAAGTAAATGTCGCACAGTGTTTACAGACAGGGAGGTGGACTGATCTGCATCTAGTGAATCACCTCCATCTGGTGGCAGCAGCCTCACACTGGAGGGGGAGCTGTGTGATGGAGGAGGAATGAATGAATCAGCAAAACAGAGAGAGACTCCATACTCCAGCCTTTACCCTATATGTGCATCTTGTTTATTTTACTGATGATAACCTTTATCGTCAGTATGTGATTTCTCTGCCATCCCTCCATTCCTCATGAGAAAGACATGCAGAATTTGTGTGTGCAGGTTATCATTTCATTCAGAGAGAAATCTTCCCCCACAACATCATAATGTGGAACTAGTGCTTTGGTTCAGTGCAATAATTAGGCTACTGTCGGTTTTCACATTAGACTATTAAGATTATAAATAAGTATAATAATTGACTCCGTAATGTCATGGAGTCAAAGTCCAGATCTCAATCTAATAATTGTGACTTTAAGGAACATTTGCATCGTCCAGATGACATCACACACAGACTCAAGTAGCCTCTACTAAACACTGATTTTGGATAATTCTTCAAAAACATTTATGTCTTTATTATATTAGTTATGATCGAGAGATGACAGGAAATTTTATGAGAGATGTTTCAAAAGAAAAGTCACCGAGATCATGTGGTCTTGACACGTAGGTGACAGATTCACTCCATCCAGGTATTCTATTTATCAACGATCACTTAATGTTTTTATGTTGATTAGTGTTAAAAAAAAGGAACACATTCAATTTATTGCAATTTGCTTTTGCAGAAATAAAATGTTAAAGCATTCAAGGAAAAATCTGATAAATATTCCAGGCGACATTAGACCTTGTTGACACCTATTTATTGAATATTCACACATACAGAAAACACAGAGCCGCATATTATACTTCAAATCATAATAATAGCAGTAATATGGTCATGATAGACATATAATTAGAACAATCATAGTAATCATAGGGTCTTAAAATTATAGCAGTAACAATGTTCATTTTATACTCATAAAATTCTCCATAGACATATTTCAGTTTCACTGTAACTAATAATATTAAGTGATGACATTCCACCTCAGATCAAACAGGGTAAAAAGAAATAACTTTGGAGTTAAAATGAGGTTATGATACAAGTAACACACACTCGTTCACACTCAGTCACACACACACACACGTATGTACATTTGGAGATATAACACCCAGTGTCGCCCAGCGACTGTGTGTAGGTTTACAGTAATTCATAAAAGTTTGACGAGGCCGTATGAGAGACTTCAAATCTTCCCCGGGTCTGTTGTAATATCGCTAAAGTGTGTTTGGCTGGTTTAGAAATAATAACTGTTACAATCACACACTTTTTAAAATGCCAGCACCCCCATGTGTTCAACTGCAGAAACACACATCTGTCATTTTCCAATTAAAGAAGTTCACAGTTTCAAAGAGAGATTGTGTCAAGATATTTACCTTGTGTTAAAAATGAAAAAGAAACAGTGTGTGTATCATCTCACGCTGGACATGTGGACCTTTAATAAACTCTTGCTTGATTATGTCACGTTTGTTTATTTGTCCTGGAATCTGCGGTTGTGTAATATTGTGATGATGGCTGCACTCGTCTGCATGACTGCTGATCGGGCTGTTTCTGCTGTGTGCGAATTATAATTATGGCCGGACAAAAGGCTTACCTTGAAAAAACTTCCAATTAAATGTTGCATAAGTGGAAGCTTGAATTCAGCCTTTGCACCGAAGGCTGTGCAACTTGCTGCAGTGGCTCAGTTTAGTTCATCGTCGTTTGAGTGCACATGCAAATATCACAACTTTACAGTGTGCAGCCATTTTAGCAGCTTTGTGGTGCAGTTCTTGTAAATCAGCGGAAGAGAAAACAATAATTTCAAAGGGTGACCAAACACACCTTGCCTGATTCCTGACTGTAATGATCCCGTTGATACAGTGGTTTACACACATCCATAGCAAACATGTTGAAATTTGCCCTTTTATGATAGAAAAAATGTGCAGCAGCAGTTGAAGTCAGGCATCACAGACGTTAGGGTTGACTCTGCTGAAGTAATGAATCTAGTTTGTAGCAAAGTTTCCTAAATTATTTGGGTATTGAAGAAGGGAAAGGCACAGTCATGAAGCTCTGATAGCACCTCATGTAAATGCTAGACATGTACTGTAGGTTTCAGGGCTACGATGCTAGAGGAAACTTTTTTATGCATCTTTTTTAAAGGGCAACAGTTCCCTCAGACTGACTCCTGAACATTTAAACTTAAAGGTTCAGTGTGTAGAATTTAGTGACATCTAGCGGTGAAGTTGCATGTTGCAGCTGAATACCCCTCACCTCACCTTCCCCTTCCAAACGTGAAAGAGAACCTGTGGTAAACTTCAGTTGTCATAAAAACTCAAAAGGTGTTCAGGGACTACTGTGAAAAACATGGCGGCCTCAGTAGTGAGGACTCACTCCCGATGTAAATATAAAGTATTGAAATATAAAGGGTCCGGTTAAGGGTAAAGAAGACAATCCGTAAAAATTAGACGAAATAGTGAAAACATCACTAGGATTATTTTGCCAATAGATCCCTTTCACCTAAATCTTACACACGGAACCTTTAAGGACTTAACTTTAGCCATGCTAATGCTAGCTGTGTGGCAATAAGGGTGGCAGCATTGGTCAGGCTGTTCCACCTCTTTGGTCAAGTCTTATCTTAAGAACGACTTACTAAGAAACTTTGGAATCCTCTGATTTTTAGTCTAGCGCCATCATGGGTTTTTGGTAACATGTCCTGACAACTACTTAATTGATTGTCGCCAAATTTTCTAACTTGTCCTGTTTATACGATGGACTAAAACGTTATACAGACATTCATGGCACCTGGAGGATAAATCCTCATGATTTTGGTGATCCTCTGAGTTTCCCCTCTAGCGCCACCGTGAGGTTTACATTTGTGTTTTCGAGTAAAATAAAAACTATTTGATGGAATTTGTCAACATATATTCACATCCTCCCACATCCTAAGGATTCATTGTACAAACGTGGTTGATCATATGTATCAGCAGAGCAGAATATCATCGTGAGGGTTAATGTTGCTATGCTAGCATTTAGCTGTGCCTGAGTACAGCCTCGCTGAGCTGCTAGCACGGTGAGCTAGGACGGTGAGCATGGTAAACAATATAATATACCTGCTGTCTATGTTAGCATTGGCATTAAAGCAGGCCTACTGCAGTGCCTGGGTTCAGCCTCACTGAGCTGCTAGCATGGCTTCGTCTCATAAAATGTCTGCTTGTCTCACGTTGTTGCCAGTTGAGGAGACTTTTGCCCAAGAGTGATCGCACACACACAAAAAAAATCCCACCGCATCGACACTTGTTGCTTTTGTAGGACACAAACCGGTTCTCATGGAAACCTCTTCATTTTCAGAACAACCTTTACAAACTACGTGTTTTAAAGCGACAAAAAGATTCTCTCTGTAGTAACTCCACATCAAATGAAAGAAATATCGGGAATTCCCATCGAAAAACATCAATAACTTATTGAGCTGTACACCTTTTTGCAATATATCATTTCAATATCAATATTATAAAACTAGCAGGATTCAGTCACCCACAGTAAAAAAAAGAACGAAAAGAGCTGCAGTAGCACCTTATTCAAACAGCGTCATCATCTTTATCACGTCAGCGAGCACAATGTCCTGCTTCTATGAGACATCAAACCAAAAACCCCTCCCGGACGAAGGCCTCGCTTCCAGAATCGTCTTATACACCAATGTTTTTTTGATTTTCTTTACAGATACAGATTCACATGAGCTAAGCCACTAAAGAAAAAGCGTCTCATTTACATGGACGAGCTGTACGACGGTGACGCGGCTGAGAGTCGGGCTATTGCTCTCGTCCAGGTATCGTTGCTGCAGCATCGACGTCTAAACCCAGCCACACACCATCACACACATTCACACCAACACACAGAGGAGACGGCCCGTCACGCTCGCTCTGGTGTGGTCATCTGACCAATGGCAGGAGATATTGTGTTTGTACGTGTGTGCTTTTGAAAAGGGGTGAAGAATAAATGTAGTGAACTAAGTTATTGGTACGACATCATAAACAACCTCCTCCCTTTAAAGGGAATGCCCAACAATTTGGGAAACGTTTGCTTGTACCACTGTAAAAATATATGTGAAACTACGGCAGGCAGTGACTTAGCTTAGCATGAATTTGGAAAAGGTACGGTGGCCAAGAGAGCTCAACGCACTGCCAATGAAGAAAACAAGTGCAAATAGTAAAAACATGTGCAAATTAAGAAAACAACTTCATCAATTTATCGTCACTCTCGCTGCAAAGAGTCACGACACGTGCAAACACAGGGCCGCGCTGCAAATGGCGAAATTGACACCAGAAATGTTTCCAGTGAACCCAAAAAAGTCTGTAGTGTGTTGTGACCTTTTGCAGTGCACATGTCGTCAAACTGATAAAGTTATTTTTTAAACTTGCACATGTTTTTTCTATTTGCATGTGTTTTCTTAATTTGAGCTCTCTTGGCCACCGTAGAAATGTCTAGATCTGTCCAAAGGCCTTACCTGCACCTAACACAAAATGCATTAATAAGTGACCTTTGGCGGTTGGGGTATTTCTGAACTTTGGACAGAAAGTCTAGCTATTTCCAATCTTTGTGCTAAGCTAATCTCAACTGGCCTGCTAGCTGCAGGTATATATTTATCGTAGAGACGTGAAAGTGGTATAAATGTTCTCATCTAACTCTCAACGAGAAAACTAATTTGCATTTTCACCCATAATTTCTCCTTTAACCACATTTTGTAATAAATGTACATAAATTATAACTCTCTAAATCCATTTGATTATTTTTCAACAGGATCACCTTCACCGTCTTCATCCATCTGTATCATATTAAAATATAACGTGGAGGTGGCGCAGCACCATCTGTTTTGACAGTTTTCTGCAGATGGTCCGTGAGTCCAAGGTTTAGGCATGATAAAGGCATGGCTCAGTGCTGGATGGGGCCTGTTACAGAGAGTCACGGGGTCAGTCGGTCAGGGGGGTGAGAGGGGGAGGAGGAAGAGGAGGGTGGAATTATAGTTATTGACTGGCGGAGGGACCCCTGGGTAAACATGGGGAGGGTGGCGGTGCAGTTTAGCACACGGAGCCAGTCGGATCTGCATCTCCAGGGGTGTAGAAATCAGGGATGGGTAGACCAGTGTGCAACGTGACCTGCGGAAAAACACATTTGATTACAAATATATGGGTTAAAAAATGATGGTAAAAATGTTTAATGTATTTCTCCGCCTGCAGGTGGAGCTGTTGAGCTGTTTGCTCAGTGGGTGTTTTTGTCTCTGGGGCAGTTTGCTTTCATCAGAAACAGTGATATGAGAAAAGTGCCTGAGAGCAATATGAAATTCAAAGCTGCTAACTGTTGTTAGGTCTTTGAAGCTTCCTCTTTCAAGGCTTAATCCTCCGAGGCCATATTTGTAAAACTTGCAAAAGCATTTTGAATGCATGATAACTGTACTTATGCTACTTTATTGATCTTTAAGTAAAAGACTCCGTTCTTGCTTGCGGCATCAATCACTGCTCGCAGAGGGTGAGTGTTTTGTACAAGGAGCCAGGGTTCGCTATAAAACTGCTCCAGGGGATTTTTCAAGTTAATCAGTTATGATAAATTAATCCGGACGGTTATTATATATGGTTTGTGTAAGAATGTACAACATAAAAAAAATTAACTCTATTGCAAATTATTTTTCTAAATAATGCAGCAACATTATATTAAACTGACATATTTTATGTGGACACATTTTTACTTCAAACATTTTAGATTCTGCACAATACAGTAAACTTTCAAAGAAGTTCAGTTTCCTCATAATTAGGAGAAATACTCAGCCTTTGCAAAGATATGTGTGATATCCTTCAGAAATAAACTGGGGCATTTATCAGACTGAACATGAACTGAACAAAAGATGCTAATGGGTGGAATTATGGGATAGCTGCTCCACGCTGCTGCTGCTGCTTTGATTAACACTCTCTTTTTCAAAATCTGCTCCATGAAAGTCCTCCGACTCGGAGGAGATGTAGAACTGTATCATTATTCCTGTAGCTTTACAGTCGTGTAAGTTTAAATATAACATCTCATTTCAACTTTGCCACGCTTGTATACATTTTACATGTTTGAAAATGTATAATACATTTTGTGGTCTCAGCAGAATCATATTTTTACTAGATTTCTTGAAAAGTCGTGGCCTGTCAGTAGATTGTATATTTCAATGCTGTACTAAGTACTGAACATGTACTGATGTTTCAGGGCTACCATGCCAAAGGAAACTGTTTTTGTGCATCTTTAAATGGGCAACAGTTCCCTCGAACTGACCCTGAACATATAAAGTTCAGTTATAGTCAGGGAACACCAATGGTTCGGTGGATCCACCCCTTTGGTCAAGTCTCATCTTAAGAACAACTGGATGTGTTGCTAAGAATTTTTAACAACTGGTTAAACTGTCAAAGGATAAAGAACCTATTTTCGTTGCTCTGTACAGTACATCATATCATTCTGTACCTGGACATTTCGGTTGAGGCTGATTGCGGGGTAATAGACGCCCTCCAACCCTTCAAACGCCACAGGACCCTGCTGCTCATCGTTGATGAGGAAGATGAGGATCCTGCGTGAGAAGTCAAGCAGCATTCCTATTGTAGCTCCTTTACTGATGCCTCCATCCGTCCTGCAGCGTCAGACACAGAGTAAGTACAGTTCACTCACATGTAAGGAAAGATATTCTCAGTAGCACCCTGTAGAATATGTGTAGACGTCCTCTCATCCTGCAGCTGCACCGTTTCAGTTTTTGAAATATTGGAATCTGAAATATTTAACTTTTTACTCTACTACATCTGAAATTACTGTTTACATTAAAGATTAAGATTTTACATTGAAAAACTGGATGATCTTGTGTTTTAATAATAAAACACTTTGTCCCTTCTTACAAAAAAACGACATCAGTGAATTAACAATCATGTTCACACACCTCACTTTGTTTTTTACCTGTTAGTGTGTGAGTTGTTGTGCATGAACCATGAGCGGTTGTTGTCCACGTACATGGCCCAGGCCTTGTCGTCCTTCCCCAGCATCACATCCTTCAAGACGTCGCCCCTAGCGATCCCGAAGGCCGGGTCGGGGTGGTTGTCGTAGCGATCGATGGTCATCTCCCAGTAATGCACGCCGCGGGAGAAAGCAGAATTACCCATGACCACTCTGTCGTCGTAGCTGTTGCACGACACCGTCAGGTTGTCGTTGGAGAAGACGATGTCCGGGTGAGCGGAGGCTGGGTCAAAGGTGAACCAAGCAACTGTGCACAAGAACACACACACACACACACACACACACACACACACACACACACACACACACTGTGGTTTAGCATCAGTAAAATGTCAAACATAGGAACCACGATCACGGTGAATGAACTCTACAATGGTTGCATGGATCTAGAAGTTGGAGGTTGGATGGGGTGAAGTTACACTGAAAAAATATCTAAATGAAAAGAATAACATATATGAGAGAAGATGAGTTTTGCTATCACTATAATGATTAATTGTTCTTGGCATCATACAATATAACTTAACATATAACTTAACATATAACTTAATTCTATATATCTTAATCTTGTGTCAGACAGAATGCAAATAACCATTGGCATTTGTTTAAACCTGCTTGGAACACCAGATGGGTGGTGTTTATGAAAACTAAATCCATTGTTAATCAGAAAAATAAACTAATTTGACTTTCTTATTGTTTTGTTTATTTCCATATAAAATGAGTGTGAATCACCTGGATCATCATCATGATGATCCAGAATGACACAACGCTGTCGACTTCCTTTATAAGCTCCCCTTTAAGGCAGCAGTTTAAATTCAAAATGGGTGAAATGACTTTTTGTCACTCATAGTAACAAACCAGCAGGGCAACGTCTCTTGACAGTGCAGTTCCTGCTCAGTGCAGTTCCTGCTCAGTGTTCTAACTTCCTCTCCAACTTCACTCACCGCTCTCATGGGAGACATCTTCGACTGCAGCAGGAAGCTGTTTCCATAGAGAAGAGTCCTGATAGACGCACTGTACAGTAAATGCCCACCAGCAAATGTCAAATGGAACATTTCTCAGCTAAAGAGATATATTTACTGCAAGAGTTGGTGGAGACTGAAATAAGAGGTAACACGAGGACAAATATTGGACTTTATAGAGTTGTAAATAATAATGTTTCAGTTGAAATATCAACTATGAACTCTGTTTAACTTTCTATGATCTTTTGCAGAACATTAAACTCCAAGCAGGTTAAATCAAATACTAACAATACATTTTCAAACTGTTTGACGTTAGGTTAAATAAATTCTATCACCACAGCTCTTAACTCTTAACTCTACACAGAGAAATATGGGAGGTTAACAGGCGGGCGTTTGCACTTTATATGGGCTCCACTGGACTGGACGTTACATTGATGTCACTACAGTAAACTTTCATTACAAAGCTTTATTTCCCAAAGGAAATAAAACAAAGGAATTTATAAGAAGCCTGTATCGGAGGTTTAATAAGTGAAGCCCACAGAGCAGCAAACTGCCCACCTGCTGGTTTGAGAGTGAGGACTGCACTGATGAAATGGGCAATAGCCAGGAGGGGATCAGAGAGGAAACTGTCGGCAATGAGAGCCGTCCATACCTGTGCCTATAGACTGAATATCACATGGAGGGTGTCCAGCTGAAATGTGACATGAAGGGGGAGAGGGAAGAGGGGGAGGGAGAAAGAAAAAGAGGGGAGGAGGAGAGCAAAGCGAAGCGAAGCGTTGAAGCAGACAGTGTAGAGGGATCAGAAGGGGGTGGCGGAGAGGGTAAGAAGCTGGTTTAACTCAGTGGACAAAAAAAAAAAAAACCAGAGAGGACAATCCCAAAAAACAAAACCACTGCAAACAAAGCAGGGAAGACTTGAACAGTGACAGCAAGGCATAAATAAAGAGAGAGTCTGTTCTGATCGAGAAACCTTTCCTCCTTTCCACTGGGAAATAAAAACCGACAAAATCAAAGCAGAGTCTGGTCAGGGTGAACGATGTCAGCGCTCTGCACAAACACATCTGAGTGGTTAGATCCCTTTGTACAGGCCCCCGACAGCTGCTGGGTGCTGTTGGTGTCAGGTAGGGAGCCTGTCTGGGTCTTTCAGGTCCACTAATGGATGACAAGCTTCCCCTTCTATGCAGAGCAGCATTAAACTAATGAGAACACAAGCACACGGGTGGATTATACACAAACCTGCTGATCTTGGATGTACCTGGTTTTAGAAAAGCACAAACACACTCTAAAAACAGAATTTACATCCTGTTGTTGCCTTTCGTTTAAAACCTTGCATCTGACATTGTAGAAGCTCTCTGTTATTATTTTTGTGTTACAAGTAAGTTTGATTGCCACGGTGTCCTTAAAATCCCTGAAAAAAATCTAAATGCATTGTTTAAAAAATCTTTAGTTGACTTCCAGATGGTGCAAGGCTTTAATCTGGCAGCAACAATTTATTATTCTTAAGATCTTGAGGATCTGGAGGATTTTATTTTTGATGTAAAATGAATGTGGCTCCCAAGAGACGAAGGAAACTGAGCGGAGACTCAAGTGTGCGATCTCATCAAGTGATAAAAACAAGAAATCTATTCAGACTCTAAGTTGCTTTGTTTTCTGTAAACAAAGATGGACGACATGTCTCCACTTCCTCCCAACTATTCAGAAATGAAGCCAAAAATCTTGGATAGGAACGTTGCCATGTTGACGACTCGTGAGTCAGTCACAGCTTAAAACACCTAAAACAGCTGAAACCATCTTTGAGAAATTGTTTTCATGTTCTTTGACTTTTTAATTTGTTGCTTGTCCCATCCACTCACATAGAGGAGTCAGGATTAATGGCCTGTGCAGCCAGCCACCAGGGGGCGATCAGGATGGTTTGGCCTGATTTTTGGCCGCTGTCATGTCATCCATTTTTATATACAGTCTCGTCTACAGTACCACAATTACAATTAGTCTACACACAAAACATTTAGGGTTCATCATGTCAGTAAAATCCAATATAACATCAAGAGAAATGCATCATGCAAAAAAAGGGGAATAATTCAATAAAATGATTCCTAACACTGAGAGGTAATCCACCTGGGAAACAATACATTAGCAAACGTGTTTTCAGCACGAGGTATACGTGTTGAAAATCTGTGGATCACATGACAACACGACTTGCTTAACAGCTGCTATTTTCTAAATGACAGCCATTTGAAATCAGGGAGGATGAGTGACAATCTGATTTCGTGGCTGTCAGTGTATATTTATATGAGTGATTTTGAACAGCCTCCTCGTGAATTTTTAAAAGCATCAAGTCTTCTCTGTCTTTGCTTGAACACTTTGTTTGATTGAGATGAAATATCTCAACAACTCAGTTCCAGTTCACAGGGTCCAGTGTTCTAAAGGTCCCATGTTTCCCTATCACACATAACGGGAACCTGAAAAAGGAGTTTCTCTTTATTCACTTAATATTTCATGGATTGTAGTGGGAGCTTGTAAAATGGGGTTTCTGTTCCCCCCATCTGCCTGTTTATATAATGAGAGAACATAGGACCCAGGGAACATGGGACCCTGTGCGCAAAGATATGCTCTTTTAGGTAAGTAAGTCAGTAGGTAGGTAAGTAGGTAGGTCAGTGGGTAAGTAGGTCAGTAGGTAGGTAGGTAGGTAGGTCAGTAATTAGGTAAGTAGGTAGGTTGATGTTCGGTAGGTAGGACGGTCGGTTGGTTGGTAGGTTGGTCAGTAGCTAGAGAGAGCTGCTGCTTGAGCTGACGCCATCTTGCTAGTTTGACAACAAATATTTGAGTTTGGTTTGTGAGTCCAGCTGAGTTCATACTGTCAGTGAAAAAGCTCTATAAAGTTTACAGACTTTACAGACTCAAATACTCACTGAGTATTCCAAGATCAATAATAACAAACGGCTGAATTCTGCTATGAGAGTTCATTTTGTTGAATTTTGTTCATAAAGGCTACAGTCGTGTAAAGTAGGAGGAGGAGCTGGTGCTTAACGTACTCTCAGATGTCTGCATGATCAGTGTCTTGCTGTACTGTCCCACTCCGCTGGCGTTGAAGGCCTTCACTCTGGACTTGTACTTGCTGTTGAAATGAAGCCCGTCCACTGTGCAGATGGTCTCCGTCCCCACGTATACTTCCTGTAAAGACACAGCGATTTCCTGTTAAACTGGCAGATACATTAAGTTCAAGATTACGACACCGAACAGACACAGAGTACTGCTCATGGAACCCAGATTCGGGAGGAATAAACCATTTGGATTCGGCAGTGAGTGTAATAAATGAAGAGTGTGAGTTCGTACAACTGAGCGTGGGCGAGGCAGCCCACGCTGGGGTATAAATAGACGCGGGGACACAACTCGTCGAGCTCAGCATGGCACTGCGTTGGCGAGCCTCAATGAGTCAGAGAGTATAGGAGACGGACAACTTCCCACAAAATTTGACAAAATAGTTGTTTTGGCAAAGCTCTGGAGGAATGAAAAAAAAATGAAAAGAAAAAGTGAGTTGAAATGAAAGAGATGCACAGACTGGACGGCAGATGGGAAAGGCAAAAACAACACTTAGACATTTTAAAACACTAAAAACCTGTATATTGAAACACAATCACAATAAACTCAACAACATATAAAGTTATAATATGTGCTCTTGTATGTTTTGCACAATTTCAGTGGTAAATCTCACGCAAGCTGCCCCACAATGTCCTCAAGCTGCCACAGAATTTGGCACTAACTGCCTACCAATTAGCAGCGAGCGGATACAGTTGGTGGATCTGTTGGCAGACAGGTTGTAAATGATCACCCTCTCATGGAACAGTTGTAATTAAGAGCGAGCGATGAAGGCGCGTACAGGCGTTTTGCAGAACACATAATCAACTTAAAGGGTGAAATTGAGATTGCAACCAGCTGCCGTTAGCTCGCAACAAACTTAGGGCCACTGCCTGTTTTTCCTAAATTAAAACACAGGATGCCTCAACAAACAGCTGCTGGACGCTCCACATTGCACAGCGAGGGTGGAGCTGATGATCCGAGTCTGCAGGAGCAACTGCAGCCACATTTCAGCCTCGTCGCGAACCACCGGAGTCGACAGGGTCGTCAATGCAACAGTGATACAAACAGTGGACATCGTGGGTCAAAGATAAATTTAATTGTAGATTCTTATATATTTTGGCGTCTAAAAGGATATTAACAGTTCGTGAAAAGAGAGAAATTGAAATACAGTATAGGGAATACATATGTAATGTTTCCCAGTGTGTTTGTTTTCAGGAGCTTTAAGGATAACTTAAATTACTCACAAATGCATTTTGGTACCTGAGAGCTACAATATATGTTTTTAAACTGTATTTCCAAACGGTGAACTCAGTTATGATTTACTGGGAAATGCACTACTGACATTTTGTGAACTGATCCTTTAAAGCGATGCTAGAACTGTATTTTTTAAAGGTTCATGCAAAACAAACCCAAATCCTTCTTTCCCAGTTGCTTAAAACTTTAGCACTGAGGAGAGTTTCCTTTTAAATGCTTCAAAATTAAAAGTATATTTTCAAATTTAGCTTCAAGAGAGGGAAATAGGGAACTCCTCTCTGTCTCTCCTCATTTACTCTCTCACATTTCATGGATAAGCATCTCATCTTGTATTGACCTCAACTGGCACTCGTTATTTTCTTCTTGGACTTTGTTTCTTACAGTACAGGAGCAAGAAATAAAAGATCATTTAAAACAGGAGCAGCAACATCTCGAAGTGTAGCAGCACTTTAAGAAGCCTTCATGTTGATTGCTATGGGACTGTAGCGCACGGTGGAAGCTGCTCTCCACAGGTTTAGAGTTCAGAAACAGATATCCTCTGTCATTGTACTGAGGGAATTGTTCAGGAGGTATAAGTTGTCCTGGTAACAAAAGCAGGGGGCTCAGTGTATAGAAAGCTGGGCAGGGTCTTATGAGGATTGATTACACGGTGAACCTCTGTGAGGGTATGAACGCAGCTTTGATCCAGGATCACACTTCCTGCGGGATCATCCCAACCAACAGCTGCACGACAGAACTTTCCTCCTGTCCGTGTGTCACTCAGCGCCTCGCTTCACCGAGTCACGTGACCTGCTCCCATGTCACTCCGAGCTGCGCGGCGCGGCCGTCACACGTTCGACTCTGGGGAATCAGCGACAAAGCGCTGCTTTCACATTCCCCTGGCTGAGCCGGTGTCCTCCCTGGCACCAAGTGAACGAGTCTTTGTTGAGATAGAAGTGACGCAGTGTTCTAAAGGTGAATTATGACTCCGACTGGTCCGGTTTTTTTCACTTTTTGTTTTCTCATCTCAATGTAAATGTAACAAAAGTTCACTTTTTAAAGGAAAAGTCACGGTGACATCAATTAAAGTTGAAGAATCAATCCCAACATGGGGGGACAGAGGGACACCTACCCTGAAGGGGCCACCGTTCCCGTCGTCCAGCTCCAAGATGTATCCGTCCACGGTGATGGTGGAGAGCGGTGGCTGTTTCCATGACAACGTGGCACTGTTGTTCTGCGTGCAGCATTCCTCTAGCTGGAGCATCGGAGCAGCTGGGACTGAGGGGGGGAAACCAGGCCAGGTTACAGCCCAATGAGGTATGGACGCGCACACACACACACACACACACACACACACACACACACAAAACTGCTACAGAATACACAAACACAGACAAATTCACATGCAACAATCCATAATACATGAAATGCTCCTCCTGACATTAATTGAGAATGAATTCTTCTGTTTACCAGTAAAATAAGATGTGATTTTAAAACAGGAAGAGGTCATATACACAAGAACAGGTTGTTTATAAAGCGCCACTGTTAACCCAGGGGGCTTGGTGGCACAGATGGAAGAGGACACTCAGGTTAAAGAGAAAGAACATCAGTGTCCATAATAGATGTGAAGAAGACACATGCAGAAATATCACAGTTTGGTAAATTCGTTACTTCAGGATTGTAAACGCTGCAGTAATATTATGATGAAAAGAGAACATCTGCGTCACTCGACTGCAGGAATATATTGTCCTGCTCAAAAACACTTCAGCTCAGGGAACATCTCTCAAGGGGACTTAAACTTTCCTCCTGTGCTGTACCTGCCACCTCCCCCCCTTCACGCGTCTCTACCCACTTATCTCCTCTCTCTCACCTTTCATCTGCACAAAGTCCAGCTGGTGGATCGTCTGCAGGAGCGGCCCGCTGTCCAGAGTGAGGTCAAAGTCGCTGGTCATCCTCGGGGTGAGGGTTCCCTTCCCCCACTGACTCTCCGTCATGTGGACCCTCCGGATCAAAGCATCCGAGATCTGAGAGCAGCCACAAACTCGGTCACTCACCCATAACAAATATCACAGGCTTTAAGTCAAAGAAAGTCCGGGGAACACGCTGAGATGAGAGATTTGTCCCCAGACAAGCAAATAATTTATAATATATATCAATATATAAAAACAATAAAACCTCATTAGGTTTGAATGGAGATGTTTTTTTTCCTTCCAGGACTTTTGGACTTGTTATTTTTTGGCATAAACACAGATATTTTTCCATGATGGGTAAAATAATTTCTGCACTGTGCTAAAAAAAGCAGATAAATATATGATATATCATTTAAATCTAATTTTAAAAGCTCCATGCAGATGATTCCTGTGCTTCCCACTGTTGAGCACGTATAGTCTGCAGCTGTCAGATAACACACACAAGACCAAAGTGTTTCAGTCGACAAACTGTTGAACTGAGTTTAAAGATAAAAGATAAAACTGTAACTTCACTGTATTTATCGAGGCAGATCTGGTTTTAGTTATTTTTCAGTTTTATCTAAATGCATTTGGGTCTGAGTCAAATTAGCAGCTTGTGATTTACTGTTTTCCTCCACATGAATGTTCTTCCTTGGAGAAATGTCACCAAACCGCCCACGACAAGGAGGGAAATGTGTGAAAACTGCAGCTTTTACGGTACAAAATGAAAAACTAGAAAACTGCTCTTCTCACAGTACATTTGAAAGTTTCAGTTTCTGGCATTTTCTTATCTTCTCATGTTTAACAGCAGGGAGACTCTCATTCTGATTGAACCTGCGGATACATGCACGGTGATGAGGAGTTGTAGCTGGAGTTTACTTTATTTTAAGGGGTGAACATCTTGGAAACTTTGGAATCATGTGCATCCTCCTCTAATTCATCCACTAAATCCAGGAGAGTCTTACCTGGAGGAAACCGCTGGGGTCGTTCTCCTTGATGACCTCCAGACAGTACTCCATCAGCCCCGTGGTCTGACGCAGCTTCACCGTACAGTGGGAGATCTGATCCCGGACCACCTGGAATGGAAAGAGTGAAAAAGGGGCAGAAAAATTATGAGAGAAGAGAAAAGAACCAGAGGGGAATTTGGTTTTCAGGAGTAGACAACAGTTACACAACAACAGCAAGCATAGGGAAGGTAATTGTATGTTAATCACCGCCCTTTTCCTGTAATCACTATGAACTGGAAAAGGAAGAGAACGCAGAAGTAGGGTAAAATGAAGTGATGGAGTATCAATATTGCAGAGTGGATGGAGACTGGAGATGCAACGAAAGGGACAATGAGGTGAAGGAGGTAAAAGTGATGGAGGAGAGATAGAAAAGGAAAACAAAGTGGACGGAGGAAAAAGAAGATGTCGGGTGGAGGAATGAGGCCGGCAAACACACAAACACTAAACAAGGCTGTGAATGGATGAATGAGACGACCAGGAGGAAAACCAATAATGAGATTACGAGCAGGATAGATTGAGTAATTTCTCCCTCTGGAGACTCGGACACAGATCGGGGGAGGGAAGAGGCGGCTGAGGGGACATCAGATCCTGCCACTGACGTTAACGTGAGGGAAGTGACATTTTGTTTTCACACACCCGTCAGCGTTAGCCCGTTACATCAGAGCTGAGATGTGAATTTTTTCTCTACAATTCTCAACAGAGTGAAAACATGCACAGACACATGCATCAGAAAACACGTCCGATATCAGAAAATACAATAAGAATGTGTTTGTAAATCATTTTATATTTTCATCCTCCTGAAACATGAACCCTGTCTTCTTCGCTTTGATTTGATATTTGATAGATGTGACCGGGGAGATTCCCTCGGTCTCACCGACACTACTGATGTCCACAGAACCAACCCCCCACCACCACCACCACCACCACCATCCTCCGCCTGCCACAGTGAAATAAACGGAGGAGCTGGACCAACGGTTGCTAGGTAACAGAAACTTCACCGCTGCGATCCGAGGGGCTCTGAGGAAAATCCTTTCTGCAGCCGCTTGGAGACTGACAGACTGTACACACACTGACGACTGCAGTATCGTTCCACTGATACAACAGCGAAGACTCGTGAGATTATCACGGACTGTATTTTAATTAACTGCACTTTCTCAGATAAATGTTCACAAAAATATTAAGTGAGATTAAAAAAAAAACAACCATTATAGAAAAGGGCAACTTGCAGAATGTGGAGCATGAAAACCTGCACGGACAATATGCTTTGGCCTTTTCTATTCCACGCAGCACATGGAAGATTTTAGTATTACTGTTCGCATCAAACTTGAAAAAAATATTTAATTGAAATACATTGAAATATTTGTTTTTTATAACCAAAGTCTATACAACAGTCTTTATCGTTGTGTCACAGATTCATTTTTTACTCCACTAACTGTTATTCAATTTTATAGTGATAAATTCAACTATCTTAATTTTTAGTCAATAATTGAGCCCTAACGTTATTACATCAAAAACCCAATAAAATAAAAAACAATCTTTACTTGAGATGAGCTGCCACAGAAAAAAGTACACACAGTATAAATAATAATACATATTTTAATTAAATGCATAAATAAATAAATAAATAAAAGGCTATTTCTGTATTTCTACATTTATGCATGTCACATCTATTTGTTTTACAGAACTAATAAATCAATGTGGAAATGTGTATATCAATAGATAAATTAATAAATGTAGAAATAAATAAAAAAGAAATACAGAAATATCCACTTTCATCACAAAACAGTTTTTATTTTTTCATTTTTTTAAAAAGCATTTAAGTATTTGTTTTTTGCATTTATTTCTTTATTCATACTTCTATCCTATCCTTCATACCACACAAATGTGAAGGCAGGGGAGTGAACTTAGTGTTTGGACTTCCACACCTCATGCTGCATATAGTCTATTAGATAATCACGATAAAACATTCTGTCCACAGGCTTTTTTCTTTTGTGTGTCACGTGTAAACATGTCATTTGTCCAAACAACCTGTTCTTAGAATGTAAGATCAGAGGGAGCTGTTGCCATGACAATGGAGGCCAGCTTCAATTGCGGACAAATATGGAAAAACACAATTATACATAGATGACAAAACATTAGCGGAGCCTCAGATAACTGCATAATAAAGTTGTGTTTATCGTCTTATCTATAAAATCCAGAGAGTGTAATCATCACAACATATATCACTCATATTATAAAATCACATATATGGAATAAACAAGAAACTGTAACATTAGGATCCTGTGCCACCACATGTGTAAATGATTGAACACATTTTCATTAATAAACCTAAAATCTTTCAGCGCTACAAGTTCTGTGATCGAGGGCGACTGAGGGTCACTCCTGGCAGCTAAAGCTACATATCAGCTGATACTGATGGATGCTAATGCTACAGCTAAAGCTCTTCGCTATGACTGATACACCACATATTAAATAAAAACACGAGGCCAATGAGCATTATGGAACATTTCTTCAGGGCGAAGCTGAAGCCAGATCACAGACAATTTGACTCTGAAAAGAAAAGAGAAGAAAACAGGGAACGACTGATATGAGCAGTGTAACACGCTTTAATCAAACCTCAGAGAACTCACAGCGTCTGTTTTCTCTTCTGCCTCTCTGGGCATCTGCAAACATTCTCAAATGAGCTCAGATAAAAAACTGCACAGACACAAGATACAAGAGTTTCTCTTAGTTCTGAACTATTACAGTTTCTCAGCCTTTACTCCTGCAGTTTCTTTTAAATGTGTTGTTATCTGCTTTGAGCCAAGGAAGGTACATTTAAGCAAAGTCTGCAGCTGAGTCAGTCGTGTTTCAGATCCTGAGGCTGGAATCACGTTTGTTTTGACCTCTTATTTCCTTTCTGCCAAAATATCTTTGGTTTTGCATCCTGCTGAGATGTCAGGCTGCAGAAATGATTGAACACTCAGCCCTCGTCCATTCTCACTTGAGCAACGTGAACTTAGATGAACCAAACATTTAAAAAAAAGCAGCATCAATTTTAAGGCTGCAGACCAAAGCAGAGAAAATGTGTGTCTGACTGAATTAAACAGAATTTATTTTGCAAAATTAAGATTTACGTTGACGCAGCTAATCACATCTTAATTACTCCCCTCTTTTTAGTGCTGTAATCAATCAGGGGACCGTGTTTAACCTCTCTTCCAATACAGTGAAATGAGATCTCCCTCCAGCGGCAATGATTCAGTCTATATTTCTCTGGCTGAAGGCCAAACCGTCCCTGCTGTGTCAAGCCTGGAACATCCACACCCCTGCAGTGGCCTGGCAGGGCTTCAGGAAGGGTTTGTCACTCCCTGTTTCACAACCACACTCGCTCTCTGTCCTCCGCACGCAGCTGGAATCACAATCTCTAAAGTCATAGAATATAATACGGAGGAATCCGACTTGAAGGTGCAGAGAAATGCCAACAAGTTTCATCATATCTGTTCCCCTCGGTCCTCCCACTCAGGTTTGACGCTCGCAGTCGTCTTTCCTGAAATCTGCTTTACGTCAGCTCCGGACTAAGATATAAAAGCTGCCACAGACAATACATCTCTGCCAGATAATCAGTGGATAATGGTGAGTAGGGGGGGATTCATTCATCCAGATTTAAGGCGGGAGAGACAGCAGCAGCTGGAGGTGGGACGCTAACACAACTCATCTCAACACAATCTCATTAAAGCGTGTTACTATTCTCACTATACAAGGGATTGTATTTTCCCTGGTAAACCTTTGACAGTGTCAAGAAACGCCTTGTTTTGCAATTCTAAAGAAACAGAAACACGTTCCTGGATCTGCACCAACATTTTGAAAAATCAAGAACCAATTATATTTTCGAGCGTTTCTACGTTTCGTGGAAATCTGTCCAGTAGTTTTTGTGAAATCCTGCTAACTAACAAGCAAATGCCGATTTCCAATATTTAAAGTTTCTTGGCCACTAGGGGTCAGTAGAAAACTGAAATCGCAATACTTTTTGGAACCAGAATTAACCATATTTGGAGGAGCAGGGGGTGGAGCCTGACTGACAGGTCGAGGACACTGCACGCCCACAAACACCTGCGACCTGCACCCATTGGACATTAGTAGCCACGCCCACATGCATACACTGATTTATCATCTATTCGACTCTAACTGGGACCATCAATTAGAAAATGAGCATCATGCTGTACTGAAGAAGAATTTAAACTATAAAACAAACAGAAAATGTTTACTGACGTTATAAATCAATAAATTAGCATCATTAAAAACAAATGATGTCTGCCAGCACTGACAACAACTCCAGTCATGCATCAGCTGCTGTTCTGTGACCGACTGCAGAACCTGCTGCCTCTATGAAAAATGAATTAACCTCCTTCTGCGTGTTTCTGTCGTAATTATTAGGCCACTGCGGCACTTGTGGCCTTGCAGGATACTGTGGCTGCAGTCTTCTCACCTGCTCTGTCACAGCCGCAGCACAGGCTGCTGCACAGGACCGTCAGGACCCTGCCGTAAAAATCCTTTAACGGTCTGACATTAAGGACGTGCATGAAGATGATTTAATGATACAGAGAGACAAGGGGTTAGATGGGGTAAAACACGGAGCGTAAAACATGTCGGAGGAGAAAAAGGCCGTAAGGGATCAGAGAGATGTGAGGAGTGATGGACACAGACACAAGAGGAGATGAAGAAGGGAGGTGGAGAGTAAGAGGGGAGGATGAAACACATGAGGGGCTGAGGTGGGGAAACATTAAATCAAACTGCAGGATCAGAAGAAGGTGAATGACGGGATTAAAAGAAGCTTCTACTCCGTCCTGTGTGTAACGAGCTGCAGTGATGGTCAGAGAAAGTGACAACTGACACTTAGACGTCAGCGAGGATCAAGCCGCTGCCTGCACAGCGTTAACACAGATCTGATACTCGGGCCGGCAAAGAGCAACTGCGGCAGTATGATGGGCTTCACTTCACTGATGTAACATGACGGGAACACTAATGGAGAGAAGAGTCGGGGTCGGAAAGACGTATATTTATCAATCAATGAATCTTTCAGTCTATAAAATGAAGGAAACTCTCTGCAAACTGCTCATTTAACAAAGAACAAAGAATCGCTGTCTGTATGTGTCTCACATATCTCGAGAACCGTTCATCTCATCGGCTTCACACTTGGCGTGTGTATTGTTACAGGCTGAAGAAAGAGCAGAGTCCGATTTGGTGTTATTTGAACATGTGATACGTTCGATATTAATACATTTTGAATAAACAGGCGACCAGTGCTCTGTGGCAGCTGTGGGTGGGACTCAACAACAACAACACAGAACAGGACATCCAAAGACATCATTCTGGACTCTGGGAAACTGGAATGGATATTCTTTTACTTTTTTCCTCCATCCATGCATCCATCATCTATACTTCTAATCCTTCGAGGGTCTCGGGGGGGGTGGAGCCAATCCCAGCAGACAATGGGTGAGAGGCAGTGTACAAGTAGACATAAACAACCACTCACATTCACACCTACGGGCATTTTTAGATTTTGCAATTAACCTAAGCTGCATGTGTTTGGTCTGTGGGAGGACGTCGGAGTACTGAGTGATAAATATTTCATAAAAACATTCGATGCGGTCGTAGAAGTTGGAGTGGATTTGTTTTTTCGGTCGATCTATCGAGCATTTCACAAAGAAAAGCACGACTGTGATTCAGCAGGATCCTAAATATTTCATGTTCATCCTCCTGTGCCACACCGCTGCAGATCCCACTGCTGCAACCAAGACTGTCAGTCAGTGTCGCAGAACATTTTGAGTTCATCTGTCTAAAAAGTCCAAACTCTCATGTTTGAATGTTGGAAAGTGGAGGACCCGGAGGAGCTGGGATCCCCTGCAGCAGAACACTGAAAACAGGGAGGACAGCAGCTCGCTGTTGGAGGAAGGAATTTTTAAAAAACAGTTTCAGTGCTGCTGTTTTCATGAAACGACCGGAGTTTGCATCCGGTGGGAAACTCACAGACCGACTTAGTTTCAGATTCACTTTGTGTTGCTCTCATCAGCCTCAGAAGAATCTCTGATGGCAGCGCGGCTCGGCTCCCAGATGAAATACAGTGAAACAGACGGAGATCAGAAGCAGCAAGTCTGATCATATTCAACACATTCTCCATCTTACATGAAAGGACTATACAGGGAGAAGTAATTTGTCTTGGTAAATTCAGTTACATTAACAGCTTGTTAAACTTGCACGTTTGCTCAGAGACGGGTTTGAACCAGTCGCCTTTCGGGCGCATTCAAATACTGTGAGAAGCACTAACACCTTTAGAGTTTGGCGTCGGCTGCTGCCTCGTGTGCTTTTTAAAGGACAGGAAACAAAAGATGATCTTTGGTGCAAACTTTAAATGATGAAGAAAAAAAGGGGCCTGTAAAACGATCACGATGACGGATCATCATTTAAACACGTTTACTGCCTCTGTAAGTGGATTTTCGTATCTCACTGTCAGACAGGGGGAGAAATAGCTGCCCGGAAGGAAGAAAAACAATCTGAACACTTTGGAAATTGTTGCCAGCATAAGATTAGTTATGCAGTTCTCAGTTAAGGGCCTAAACTATGATCCTGTAATGGTGCAGCAACCCATAGGTAAACCCAGGTCATGTCTGCAGTGTTATGTCTGGTGGGAATTTGAAGAGAAAGTTTGTTTTTTATTCAAACTTTACAAATATCCTTGTGATGGCAAGTTGTTAAAGACTAATATATTTCAGTGTGAATGTTTTTACCATCTACATATTAAGTTCATTTAAAGGAGGAAGTCTTCTTAGACTCACAAAGACCGAACCAAAATGATACGGTCTCATCTAGAGAGGATTTCCGTGATCGGAGTCACCGGCTTGTCCCGTCCTTGGTTTTTCAACATGAGCATCGTTAGCCACTAGGTTGATTTTACACCTGACGCTCTTTGAAAAAAGGTTCATCCTCAAAGCCCTGCGGTAGGTTGGCCTGAGAAAGATCCACCCGTTGAAGCCTTCGTGTTTCGGGAATGGAAGGACGCATTTGGAAGGCCTAGTCACACCCCTGTGAAACAATGGGTCTTCAGATGCAGCCTCCGAAGAATGCAGTCTTGGGATTAAGAGGCGGATGTAATCTGCGGAGGTGCAGTGGCGTCTTTATGCATTGGGATTTTACCTCAGGCCTGATGATGAAACAGACGCACCAGAGTCTGAGTGGAGCCGAGCAAAGGTTCTTTTGTGACTCAGTGCGACAAACCACCATAAAACAACCTTCCGCCTCTGCTGCCTCTCGACACAAACACACGGGTCAGTCCTCCCCATGCTCGAGTTATGAAGAACTACTTCTCGCCTCCACAGCTTCAAACAAGGAGCTCGATGTGTCCTGGTCACCATGGTGATCAGGAGAGCAGCAGGGAGCTACACGGGAGATGCCAAGTCAGCTGCAGCCGCTTCTCTGCGTTTCAACTGGTTTCATGTTTTCCATGCGTCTCGTGGCTTTTATCATTGCGGCATCAGCAGGATTAATCAGGTCACTTCATTAGTTCCTTAATTGGTCACATGAAAAATGCAAAGCTGGCATTTTGCTTCACGCAACAATCGGCTGCTTGTATGCAAATAGAAAAATGACAACGTTATCAACACGACTGGGACAGAAACGTGCCCCGGTCGATTACAGCAGGGGGACGACCTCCCCCACTGAGCCACGGGCTAATGAAGCAGGAAGCGTCTGGTATCCACCTTAAGTGAGCTGCCACGTCCGCGAGCAGCAAATGAGAAGGAAAAAGAAACACGGGGAGATCTCTTCCATCACAGACTCTGTGGGAAACTCCATTGATGGAGTGAGCGAGCGCAGATTCACACGAGAGCTCGACGCTGAGAAGATTATTAGATCCCTCATGTGTTTCTTGCATTAAGATTCAGCGAGGGACACGCGGAGTTGCCGATCTGCTGGCCGACAGGAGGGATCAGCCACATTAAAATTCCTGCGTCTCGGAGGTGCTAATGTGTCCGATGTCTCTCTGCCCCTGAATAAACACACATCCATCACTTGACAGCCATCCTTCGTTAACGGAACACAGTTTGCATTTCAAGCAATGAAAGCAGCTCATGGCATCAGTTCAGTTCTTCAATGCGAAGCTAAGTTAAAAAATGTTTACTATAAACACACAAAAAGAAATAAAATTAATTCTGTTATGACACTCATTGCCTGAAAATGGCAGCACAACCGACAGTGACCGGACAGGCTCTGTTAAATTTGATTTATAATCTTAATATTACAGAGGAAAGTAAAATGTGTGTATGTGTGTCAGTGTGTGAGCCTGCACACATGTTGCCGTGCGCGGACTGTGTTTCTCAAAACCACCTACACGTGTGAAACCTTGATTCTACAGATCGTCCAAGTGTGAAATTGGATGCTGTACGGCACAAATGTATTTACCCCTCCCCCCTCCTCCTCCTCCTCCCTCTCTCCGTTCTGTCCCTCGTTCAATGTGTTGCAGATGGTCTAAAGGAGAATGTGGCTCTTTATGTCTCTGAAACCAGAAGATACTGCTGATAAATCCTAAACCTGACAATGCAACCAGAAATATTAAAAGGATGCGACTGTTGTTTTTTTCATTTCAGCCATTTAAACAAATTCGATATCAATGTGAATCACTTGCATTTAGATGAAAATCCTTCCAGAGGGACAATGGTTTCAGTTCAGGCCACTACAGTTGGTATAAGATTTTGTTTCTGCAAATGAATGTGCAGTCAACTTGAAGTAAAATTAGTTTAGGACAAGAAATCAATCAAATTCACATTATGATTTGTTTTATTTGCCGTCTTGGTTCGATTCACGTGTTTTTAAAGGCCGATGCTGATATCTAGAGAGCAGAGAACCGAAAACTTACTTTCTGCAACTCGATGTGCAGTCATCTGGATCCATCAGTCACGTTCATCACATAAATATAATTTGTTTAACGCAGAAGTTTTTTCTTATTCTTTACTTTCTTGGTTTAAATATCCAACCTATGCAACAATTTATCAGAGTATTATTGTAACGACAGACAACATGATATCACTTCGTGGGCCGGATCTCGTCGTGCTCGCTCACCTTCAGCTTGTGCTCGTGCTCTTTGTTCACTCGAGACAGCAGCTGGGCCTTGCGTCGGTTCAGGGCGTCGATGAGGGCGTCGCACTGAGCCACCAGACACGCCTCGAACTCCACGCCGTTCTCCTGCAGAAGAGACGCACGCAGAAGCTGGGAAATCTCCAGAGTAAAGAATCTAGCAGACTCATGCAGACTTTGATTGCGACACTAAGTGCAGCATTAACCCTGAAATATGTCGCAAGTGTAGGATTTATGTGTTTTATTTCTCTTTCTTCCTGTTGTATCATCCGTCAGCGAGGTGGGTGGATAAAACATGAAGCACCAGCACCACAGGACGATGACTGATTAATGTTCCTACAATTACGTCCAGGATTATTCATTTTCACACATCCCAAACTTATCTTTCCTCCTCCTCCTCCTCCTCTTTCTTCACCTCCTCTCCTAACTTATCTTCATTGTTTCCCTCCCTCATGTCTCCGTCGAGCATCATCTCGCTGTGTGACGATAACCGGCGGCAGCAGCTAATCCCACCCTCCTCCTCTGATCAGCCTCTTTTCGATGACCGTGTCTTTGTCTCCTTGTAGAGCGAAAGGTTGCGAGCGTCTCAGTCTTCTCTCGCTCAACGTGAGACACCACAGAATGAAACCGACATCCTCGCACACGCAAATATTTAACTTCCCAAACACTGAAGCCCACAACTGCCTCCTGTTGCTATGGCAATGCATCAGTTTTATTGAATGTAATGTCTTTATTGATTCCATAAATCCTGACAGTCTGGTTGAATGACACAGGTTTTCACAGGCAGGGCAGCCAATGGTTGATATACAAATTCCCAATATTATGTTGTCTGTGTTTGATTTGAATAATAATGATAATAATCACAAAAAAAATATTATTTAGATGAACAAGTTAAAACTAATGTTTGTGTTAACCCTGTGTGTGTGTGAGTACCTGGATGTGCTGCACCATGTTTCTCAGCTGGACCAGAAACTCCTTGGCCTCAGTGGCTCGGTCTGACAGGCCGGTGAGAGCCTGGGACAGCTGACCCTGCAGAGAGCACAGAGAGGACGTCGTCACACACTGCAGATACATGGATCCGTACATTTTCAAAAAGCAGTAGATCAGAAACACTGACAAATGGAAAAAGCTGACGATGAAACACCGTAGATTCGATTTTAAAAGCTATAACCATTTTTTTAAAACCATAAATAGAAGATGTATAAAAACACAGACTAATAAAATGAACGCACAGATAAATCTGAATTAAATTTACGTCACACAAAAGTGTTAAGGAGACAATGAGAAAACAAAGCTGCTTTATATCTGCTGAGAATCTGACATTTATAAATCGTCATTTCCAGATGATTAATGAAGAACTTGAGTTTTTAAGGGTTTAAAAAAAAAAAAAAGTGATTCTTGTTCCTGGACTGATGGGAAATGTTTTGGATGACACACAAGCGCTTCTGTTTGGACAGTGTGGAGAAGAAAAAGGGGGCGTTCATGTATGTGAAGCGGGGTTGTGTGAACAAGGAGGTGACGGAGCGAGAGGACGCGGCCTGACCCTGTGGGAACCTCGCTCGGTTGAGTGAACCAGACAACCGTCAACTCAGGGAGCGTATTGTCTTCTGGGAGGAAAACAGGGTACTGTATGGGCGGTGGAAAAAAAAAAAAAAAAAAAATCACTTCAGCTCCGGAAGACGGCAATAAAACCAGCAAGTAGCTGATACAGTGGAAACCGCTGAGAAAACATCCCATCATAAGCAGGACGCTGCTCCGTGTCAACCCCAGCTCTGGGATTCTGATGCTGCCCCCGGTCAAATGGGAATCTGTGTGCGGGGGCCGGCAGCCGACCTTTGACCTCAGAGTTTGGGAATCCATGACAGCTGTCGTTAACATGAGTCGACTGCGCCCAGGGACAGTCTGAGCCGGTGGCAGCTGAGCAAAGACTGGAATGTAAACTCTCCAGGACTGTGTCGGACTTCAAGAAACTGCCTCCTTGTTAACATGGGAATCACATTTCAACGTCCAGAGAGACGAGCGGGGGGGAAAACACATGAAGTGCATGTTTTATTGCACATATTTGGAGATGTAAAGGAATTATGGATGTCACCAGAGCATTGATTAATAACTTGGTCTATGAATTGTCTGTCACTTGTCCCCAGAGCCTAAAGTAACCAAAGGATGTTTAACTAGATTAACTGATGATCAAAATTCCAGCAGAAGTTTGGTTCTCCTCTCTGATTCAGTGACGGACGTTGAGGGAGCTCCCGCTTCTCCTCCGCCAGTTGTTGTCGTGCGATCAGTGACGGAGCAGATGAAATGAAAAGCACTTGATTGTCTGGAGGCGTTTTTCCACAGTGTCTGTTGGAGAGCCTGCAGAGCTCAGTCCTCAAAACCAGGTCAGAACGTGCCGTGAAAGAAAAGGCCGTCTTATTTTCTGCACAGCTCGCGGCTACGTCCCGATACAGACAGATTTCAGCAGCAGATGGGAGGAGGAGCATGATGGGACCGGGACCAAAGAGATGGAGGCTGCATTTCACTGTTTTTTTTCATTAGTTTAATCAGCACGTATGCAGCTTCTGAAGAGAACAGTGGAAAATGTCCAATTTGAAACTTGTTGCGTTAGATTTCAGATTCAAACTAAAGCAGGCTGCTCACTTCAAGCCAAACGCTATTGATTCTTATCTCATCAAGCTCAGTTACGTTGATTGAGAACAAGTCCATGGGTAAATTTAAGCTTAGTCAAGCATGTTCTGTTCAAAATGTTCAAAAAGACATTTTTGGATTGTTTTCCTATGAAACAATGATGGTATCATACAAACAAACTGACATTTAAAAGCTTAAAGTAGAGAAAAAAGATTGAATATTTGGTATTTATGTTCAGAACTGATGTTGGTTAAAGTGATTAACTCAGTGAAGATGTAAAATAATATTACTGTATATTATTTTTATGGCAGTTTTGTGTCACAGCCATTTTTGTCCTTAGGGTCACCAGACACAGTTTAGGAAAAGAACAAGGGTCAAATAAAAAATAACACAACTAGGGGCCTTTTTATTAACCATAATTTGTAACCCTAAAAAATCAATCATTCAATTAATCAACCAACCAACCAACCCACCCATCCATCCATCCAGAACCTTCTTGGTGTTTTCCTCTTTAGGTTTTGAAAATGCTAAATACAGAGACCGAACCCCCGACAACCTCAGAGTAAATTATCATTTGCCGCCGACACAATGAGATTTCCATCATTTTCCTGGATGATTGATGAGAACTATTAGCGATAAGTTAGCCTGCATGATATTTACATCTCATCACACTTGGATTTGCATTTTCATCCCTTGCCACGGGAAACAGTCTTCACCGTCATGGAGTGATTCATGCTCTTGTAAATTGAGCTCTGGCGGATACTGTACCCTGAGAGAGGGGAGGGTTTCCCCTTTTTTTGTAAACATTTTTGCTCAACAATTCTCCACTTACATTAATGCAAAGCGACTTCGAGCCGGCCCCCGGGGATTAAAATACATCTTGTTCACAGGGGAAAGAGGAAATAAAAGCACCCTGCTGCGTTCAGGTGGAGAAGAAGAAGAGGAGGGTGCTGGAATGTTTGGTAGAGGGGCTCAGGATGTCCCTTCTATTTGGGAGCACTAATCAGCTCGGTAATTAAGATGAGTGGGAACACGTGCATGAAATGAATAATTCTACCAGCAGCTCCGGGGCTGCGCTGCATGTTTTCTCCGCGGCTGAGCGAACTGTCCAATCTGTCACAGGAAAACACGTCACACAGCCAATTTGGATTAAAGCGCCCTCCCCCTCCAGGAAGTGGGAAGTGCAAGGACAGGAGGAGGTAGGTGTAATGTCACTGCTAAGCTCTTAAAGCCGCCGCAAAGTAAAAGCACTCTTCTTCAAGCTAATTATAAAACACACACGCATTTCCACAAAATGCTTCGCCGGCAGAGACAGATTCTGAGTTCCCGTAACCTACTTTCACAAAGCTGCATTACCGCTCAGAGACGTCTCTTTAAGAGCCCCGCTCGTTCCGAGGGCTGCGGGGGTAAATACTTTCTCTGATGTTCTTTAAACATCACTTTGGGCTCGCTTAATCCCGAGTGCAACAACAAACTCATTTGGTTACACACTGTAAACAGACGTAAACTGAATGTCAACTTCTGGTGACAGAAAACAAGAAACAAATAAATGACACACACTCACACTGAATCCCAGCGATGAAAGAAATTGAAATCAGTGTAATTTCGCACAGTGTGATCTGCGATTGTGTTTCCCCCCCAAAAGCATCAGCACCCGGAGACACCGACATGAAAGGCTGGCGTTGTTTACTTGAACTGCCGCAGCCCTCGGAGAGAACACACTCTGAATTATTAAGCAGACGACGATGATATTTAGCGTCTCGGGAACCTTTGTGTTGTTAAAAATTAAGCTCGCACGTTTTCCAACGCGCCGGAACAGTTACGACTTGTGATGCTGCTCCGTGCTTAACAAGATCCCACATGAAACCGTCCTCGACAAGCACGACCTAAGTGGCTGGTGCATTATTCATGTGGCGTCATCAATAATACAGTGGAAGTCGTTAACTATCCACACACAGAAAGTGAAGAAACCCCGATATTAACAGAGAGGGGGGGGTTCTTTTTAAAGTTGCCACAGTTTCTACATGTGAGCGACTTCTGTCCTTATTGGACAGACACCTGGGACAACACGGCAGGAAATGGGGCAGGTGTGATCTATTCTCGTCTGCGCCGGATTCATCTGGCGAGGGCGTCGTCTGCTGCACGTGATCACGTTTCCTACCTGCGGGTCTATTTTGGCTGTGTCACATAAATGACACCTGGTGAGGAGAAACCCGAGGAACAGTGGGATGAGGAAGCAGAGGTTTCCTCAAGGGCTGTGTCACAACTGGAGCCAAACCAGGTCACTCAGCTCAGCAGTTTATCAAAACGAGGCTACTGTCAGTGGCGTCCCTTAGATTTGATATTTAATTGCAAATGGGATGTATGAGCGTCATTACCGTTGCCATGGTTACAATCAGCCTGTTGAAAGTTGAAGCGTCCTGACAAACTTTGTCCCAATTCAGGGGCAGCGTCCTGTGGGCTGGATTTGAAGACGTCAAACTGGCGTGATCGGGCGTCTGCAAAGGCTCAAGAGCAACGAAGGTTCCAACGGGTGGATCCTCCTTACACCAAACAATCCCAGGATTCATTGCGCCTTGGCAACAAACTGCTTTTCAAAAGGATAATGGCGGCGGTAAGAGACAAGACCAACATATCAGGCTTCAACTCGATCAACTAGCGAACATTACAGATGTTAAACGACCAAGGGGCGTTAAAACTTTCTCCTCGTGTCCGACTGCAGCTCTGTTGCTAAGCGACGGCGGTAAGGCCGGGACAAGCTGGTGACACAAGTCACAGAAATCCTACGAAGACGAGAGCGTCACAGCTAATGATGGATTCCTGTTAGCCGAGCGTTTCCCTGAAACCCTGGAAACATTTTCTGGAGCTTGACTGAACCAGAGAGATGTTTCTTCTCTGTGGAGTCTTGAATTAAATCCAGTTTGCTTGATTTTTGTTGTGCAAGGTCTTGATCTGAGCCTCTGAGTGCAGACTGAGGATAAGTGCCTCTGTAAAAGGTCGAGAAAGGAGAATGTTGATGATGGTTAAGTTGATATAAATGATGGTGATCTGACCTGCACCTCTGCTGCAGGGTCCACTTTTCTGATGCAACTCATTTAAAGTTGAGTTGTAACAGCCAGATGTAACAGAGCCTGATAAATTATTCAAATGTTGAAAAGCTCCGAAAAATTAAACAACTTGTTTTGGTTGGAACTCATTTACTTAGAGAAAACTTTCCTCTCCACAGACCACAAAGGGAAATTAGCACAGTGGAGTTTTGAAGCATTTATCTCTCTCCAGCTCGTCGCCTGGAGCGAGTTGAAATTATTCAGTTCCCACCAAGAGAAGTTCCACATAAATATGTCAAAACAAAAATATCTTCTGTGGATCAGCCGTGGTTTTTCTCTAAGAACCCGAGATGC